TCACCCACTTTCTCCTTGCATATGGGACCTTTACGGTTCGACCCAACTCGTCCAACAACGGTCTATACTTTAACCCACCGTTGACCACGTGGACGGTCACAAACTCGAATCCACGGTCGTCCGTGTCGACTAAACCGTACATCTCCCCTCGAAAGGAGGTCATGGCAGCGATCACCACTTCTCGCGAACGGACGGTGGTGCAGTCCCTGACTCGGAACACGGTTCGCTCCAATTCGTCGCCGGAACAGAAGATGACGTGGCAGTCGGGATCGGTCGGGGGCCCAGTCAGGACAAACCGGGGGTACATGTGTGAAGGCAGGGGAGGCTGACCTGGTGCATTGATTCTGTGAGGATGTTCACAAGGGCGAGCCACCCGTGACCGGAGCCTATTATGCGCTTTGCGATTAGGTTTGGAAGTTGAGTTTTCTTGCACTGCCGGTCGATCAGACTGTAGAAGGACTGTCTAGGGCGATAGTCGTCGTGCTCCGCCATGAGCAGGGGAAGCTTCTCATTATTCTCCTTCATCTCCAATTTTTCTGCAAACTAAACAGAGGGAAACCAACTAATTAAACTAACATGATTTAGTACAATGTTGCAAATGATGATGGAGCAGCCATTGAAGTGCATGGAATTCTGCATGTTCTTTTATATCTTTACTGTTCTTATTTTCATTTCTTGAGCTAAGTCGTGTTGCGTTTTATGTGTACGTTTTCTTTTAAGTTGGTACGCTATCGTTTCATCTCAAACGACGCCGCTTTAACAGTCTTGTGGTCTTTTTTATTTTAGTAGCAAACGACGTCGTAATGTTGAATGTGAACGACGTCGTTTAGGTCGTCGTCCAGCATGTCTTAGCAACCTTTATATAGTCGCAGTCTGTACGTACTCTCTCGGTTTTTTGGATAAAAATATTGAGCTAAGAAAATCCCAAAAATTTCTCTTGTGCATCTTATGCAAATTGTTGATTTTTACATGGTATCGAGAGCAATCAGTTCTGGGAACAACTGTTGATTGTTGATTCATGGCGATGTTACGTGAAAATGCTGGTGGATCTGGCGCGAGGCAAAGCAATCAGGATCCATTCTTCCTCCATGGATCCGATCATCCTGGTTTGGTGCTCGTCTCGCATCCACTTACTGGTAGTAATTTTCTATCGTGGCGTCGATCAATGATGATAGCGCTTGGAGCTAAGAGAAAGCTTGGCTTCATTAATGGTGAGATTTCTGTTCCCGATGTTGATAGTGATGATTATGATGAATGGAAAAAGGTTGATTGGATGATTTTGTCGTGGATTCTAAGTTCTATGTCAAAAGATGTTGCTGAATCATTTGTTTATGCTGAAAGTGCTAAAGATCTGTGGGATGAAGTGTGTATGAGATTTGGAGAGAACAATGGACCGATGAAATATAAGTTACAGAGAGAAATCAATACATTAGTACAAGGGAATTGTACAGTGATGGAGTACTTTAACAAACTAAAAAGGCTATGGGACGAGTATGCATGTGTTGTTCCATCTCAGTCCTGTAACTTTGAAAAAGGAAGGATAATGGCTAGAAATGAAGCTGAAAATAAACTCATACAGTTCCTAATGGGGCTAAATGAAGGATATGACAATTTGAAGAATCAGATTATGTTGATTGATCCTCTGCCTAGTGTTAACAAAGCCTATTCTATGGTGCTTACAGCAGAAAGGTAAAGAACTGTTAGTAGTTCCTTTGACAGAGTAGATAATCTAGCCATGAATGTGAGGTCAGAAGGATATGGAAGAGGTATGAATGTTCAAGGAAAAAGTTTTGGTGGAAGGGGAGGAAATATGTCTAGTGGAAGGGGTGGCAGAGGTTCTGTCAGGTTAAGCAAAGAGGAAAGGGCTAAGTTAGTGTGTGACAAGTGTGGGATGAGAGGACATACAATAGCCACATGTTTCAAGATACATGGAGTACCTGAGTGGTATAAGGATCTGAAAGCACATGGATTGAGCTATGCCAACAATGCTGAACAGTGTGATGGTAATGAAGGTTGGGGAGAATCTGTGCTTGAAAAAAACCACTCAAAGGAAAGTGATCTATCTATTGTTGTTAAACAGTTGCAGGAACTAACACATCTCATAAAAGGAAAGGAAACTGCAGTAAGCAAAGTAGACTTTGCACAAATGGTAAGTTTTGAGGGAGAGGATAAAAGTGGGGAGATGCATTTTGCTCTAACCATTGCTGAAAATGTGAACAGCTGTGATTGGATCATTGATACTGGAGCTAGTAGACATATGTGTGGGGATTCCAGTTTGATGAGAGATATATATTCTTTGAAAAATGCTGTCAGTATTTGTTTGCCTGATGGTTCAAGCAAAAAGGTGCATGTTGCAGGAAAGGTTGATGTGAATAAAAGGCTAACATTGCATAATGTATTGTATGTTCCTGGATTCAAATACAACTTATTATCAGTCAACCAGTTGTGCTCAGATGAGAAAGTGAAATGCTCTTTTTCAGCTGCCTCTTGCTGTTTTAATCACAGTGACAGTGGACAATTACTGGGACAAGGAACCTCGAGAGGAAATTTGTACATACTGAGTAAGGACAATGTGGAGCACACCAATTCTGTGAGTCATAATCTTTCTCTAACACAATGGCATCAATGTCTTGGGCATGCCAGTATCAGTACTATGAGACATCTACAATTCCTTAAAGGGAAGTACACAGAACAAGAGGAAAGAAGCATTCAATCTTGTGAAATATGTTACAAAGCAAAGCAGCACATGCTTCCTTTTCAAAATAGCACAATGCATGCTTCCATAATCTTTGAGATGATTCATGCTGACATTTGGGGACCATGCAAAGAAGAAACCATAACTGGTACTCCTTTCTTCTTGACTATAGTGGATGACTATAGTAGGGGTGTTTGGGTATTTTTAATGGAACATAAATCACAAGCATCCAAGTTGGTTAGTGGGTTTATCACCATGATAGAAACTCAGTTTGAGACAAAGATTAAGAAGGTTAGAACTGATAATGGCAAGGAGTTCTTAGGGACAGAAATACAAAATTTCTTCCAAAGCAAAGGAATCATCCATGAAACCAGTTGTGTTTATACACCACAGCAAAATGGTGTGGTTGAAAGGAAGCATAGACAACTTCTTGAGATTGGGAGAGCCTTGGTATATCAAGCACAATTACCATTAAAATTTTGGCCTTACTCCATTCAGGCTGCAGCCTATATCATAAATAGATTACCTAGTGCACTTTTGCAGTGGTCTACACCTTTTGAGAGAATTTATGGAAAGCAACCAGAATATGCCAGTCTCAAACCTTTTGGATGTTTGACATATGCAGCTGAGGTTCACCCTTTCAAATCTAAATATGAGCCTAGAGGAAAGAAGTGTATCTTTCTTGGTTATGCACCAGGGAAGAAAGGATATCAGTTGTACAATATGGACACAAGAGAATGCTTCATATCCAGAGATGTTGTCTTCTTTGAAGAATTGTTTCCATATATAGCTTCAGATACCACTGAAGTAGTTATACCAAGGGCAGTTGCAGATGACCACTTAGAAGTGGAACATGTCCAACCCTCACCAGCACCTCCTGAAGAAGATGTTACAGGATTAAGGAGGAGCAGCAGATCAAAGGGAGTACCCTCCTGGCATCATGACTACATTTGTGGAAAAACATCAACCAGAGTTATTGAAAATGCATCTCTCCCATTAAACTTCTACTCTTGTAATTATGGAGTGGATCATGGGATTTCTCAACAACAGTTTTTTGCTAATCTGTCAACTGAGAAAGAGCCTGTGCATTATAAGCAGGCCATTACATACCCTTCTTGGGTTGAGGCAATGCAAAAGGATCTGGAAGCATTAGAGGCTAATCACACTTGGGAGATCACTGAACTTCCACCTGGAAAAAAGGCTATAGGGAGCAAATGGATTTATAAAATCAAAAGGAAAGCTGATGGTTCAGTTGAGAGGTTCAAAGCTAGGCTAGTAGCTAAGGGCTATAGCCAAGTAGAAGGGATACACTACTTTGATATCTTCTCCCCAGTGGCAAGGTTGGTTACAATGAGATTTCTCATTGCCACTGCAGTTCATAAGGGCTGGGCCATTCACCAATTGGATGTGAACAATGCCTTTCTCCATGGCAACCTGTCAGAAGAAGTCTTCATGCATCCACCTTTAGGCTATGAGAAAGCTGGTCCTGGCAAAGTTTGCAAGTTAATGAAGAGTCTGTATGGACTCAAACAGGCATCTAGAGAGTGGAATCAAGAGTTGTGCACCAAGCTCTCCCAATATGGGCTTATTCAATCCAGCTATGATCATTGTCTTTTCACAACAACTAAAGGATCAGATTTCTTGGCTTTATTGGTCTATGTGGATGATGTCATTCTCACAAGCTCATCTTTGCCCATGATTCATAATCTTAAGCATTTTCTTGATGACCAGTTCACCATCAAAGACCTTGGTGTTGCTAAGTTTTTCTTGGGGATTGAGTTTACTTACACTACTAAAGGAGTGTCTCTTTGTCAAAGGAAATACATTATGGACATACTTAGTGACATGAACATGTTGGACTGCATATCATCTCCAACACCTCTACCTTTGGGAATAAAACTACATGCTCACAGTGGGACTGCCATGGCAGAACCTGATTTGTTCAGAAGGCTTATTGGAAGATTATTGTACCTTGGCCTCACCAGGCCTGATGTCACTTATGCTGTCCAACAACTAAGTCAATTTGTCACAGCTCCTCATGACACTCATTGGACTGCAGCCTTGCACATCCTGAAGTACTTAAAGGGTTCTCCTTCCTTGGGCCTGTTTTATTCTTCTCACTCTTCTTCTTTCACCCTTGTTGCATATTGTGATGTTGATTGGGCAACATGTAAGGATACTCGAAGGTCTATTACAGGGTTTTGCATATTTCTTGGGGATGCACTCATTTCTTGGAAAAGCAAGAAACAGCACACAGTGTCCAAATCCTCTGCTGAAGCTGAATATCGAGCTATGGGATCCACTGTATCAGAATTAATGTGGCTGCATTACCTAGCACAAGAGTTTCAGCTTTCTATCACTTTTCCTATCCCTCTTTGGTGTGACAACCAGGCTGCCATGCACATTACAGCTAATCCCGTCTTCCATGAACGAACAAAGCACTTGGAAATTGACTGCCATCTTGTGAGAGACAAATTCAAGCAAGGCTTTGTTCTTCCCCTCTTTGTAGCATCCATGCATCAGCTGGCCGACCTTTTCACCAAGATTATTGCTGGTGCTCGCTTTGCTGCTCTTGTGTCCAAGTTGGGCATGACCATCGTTCATCATGGCCCAACTTGAGGGGCGGGTGTTGCAAATGATGATGGAGCAGCCATTGAAGTGCATGGAATTCTGCATGTTCTTTTATATCTTTACTGTTCTTATTTTCATTTCTTGAGCTAAGTCGTGTTGCGTTTTATGTGTACGTTTTCTTTTAAGTTGGTACGTTGTCGTTTCATCTCAAACGACGCCGCTTTAACAGTCTTGTGGTCTTTTTGATTTTAGTAGCAAACGACGTCGTAATGTTGAATGTGAACGACGTCGTTTAGGTCGTCGTCCTGCATGTCTTAGCAGCCTTTATATAGTCGCAGTCTGTACGTACTCTCTCGGTTTTTTGGATAAAAATATTGAGCTAAGAAAATCCCAAAAATTTCTCTTGTGCATCTTATGCAAATTGTTGATTTTTACATACAAATTAAACTATTGCACGAAAATACTGCAAAATCATACTAAGCATTGGGTTTACTTTATATGAAAATTAAATTAATTCCTAGAATTTTAAATGCGGTTGCTTTTAGAGTGGATCCTAATTAATCGGGAGGGTTCAACATTTGGGGCCCGGCCCGAGAGGAAGGGGGCCCAGCCCGCGAGGGTTCAACATTAATTATGGGTTGGAATTTTGCATTTGATTTGAGTGACGATGAAGAGGTAATTGTTTCAATTAGAATGATATAAAAAAAATTATAAGTTATTGATTGATAATTAATTAGCGAATAATAAAATGTATGTTTGTTGAATAATACGATAGATTAAGGATTTGTGATTTTCACATGTATTCGAGATGGTCTGATATAGTTAATTATATAGCGCCTTTCTTTATTGGAATTCATATTTCTAATACATTGGAAAAAAAAAAAATCTTATAAGCTAGCAATTACTAAATTTTAGTAGTACGACAATTGTGGATGTTAACTTGAAATTCATAAAGAAAAAATAAAAGTACCAACTTTTTTTAATTTAAATTTTTAAGTAATGTTATTTTATAGATAACTTTATTTGATTTATAAATGATAATATATTATTTTAAATAATAACTGAAAGGTAATTATTTTTATTATAAATAATTAATTTTTATTTCATGTGTAGTATGGATATCATATTATATCGAGATTACCCGTGAGCAGTAATTCTATGAATCCATTGGATGGCTCCATTATGGAGTCATCCATAACTTTACGTAATGACACGTGTACGATGTGTATTTATTGCAGGACACGTGTCAATACACTATTTGTGAATAATTATGGATGACTCCATAAGTCGAGTCCTCGGATAGCTCCGTAACAAAACCGTGAATATCATCTTGAATCAAATATTCCGAATTAAAATCGGAACTGGATGATCAGAAAATAATGAGCCATCAAAGCTGCATCTCAAATTGAAGTAAGAAATTTTCTCCATTTTAGTCAAGCCAACATGCATCAACCGGGAATTGCAACTGCGCAAAACCATAACTCAATGAAAATAATACACAATTAAGGGTACAATCAAATCAATCAGATAAGCTATCTATCCATATGCTAATCAATGTATCATTAGTATACATTTCATTTTGTTCCAAAGAATTACTGAACAAAAGATAAAAACAGCATCCAAGCTCACGACCGTCAAGCGGAAGCTAATACTGATTTTCTTGTCGAAGAAGAACATCCACAATTACCGCACATATGTAAACACCGCATGTTTTGCACGTGTGAAAAAGGAGGTCCGAAATCGAATTTTTCCATCTCTCATGTCTGCACAAGCTTAGCCAAAACAACCATGTCCAAGATTTTAACATCAAGAGTGTCGTCAACTTTCACGATTCCATCCGTGCCGTCTATACCAATGAGCTTCCCGGTCGACCCACGGTGTGCACAACCCATTTTCTTGATCTTCTCTGCTTTTCTTGGAGGCACCACCTCGATTTCGCTAGGCAAAACCGTGACAATCTCGCCATTACCGCTCGATCCAAGACCTATTTTGCAGGACCCATCCTTGAAAACCAAAAAAAAAANNAAAAAAAAAAAAAAGATAACTGCAAAAATTCCATTATATATTTTTTATTATGTGATTTATATCGAGTTAGTTACTATAAGTGAGCCAAAAGAGTATATACCGGCAGCACATCTTTGATAACTCCAAGTGAGCTATCTTCACCAAACATACGAACATTGACCAAAATTTCTGGGAGGAACCAAGAACCTTCATTGTCCCCACATGTAACAAAAGCAAATTTCAAGACTTCATAAATTTGACACCCGATTATCTCATACAAAGATAATAAGGTAAAAGCAATGATCAATGAGTGTACCTAAAACCGGGGACATCATATCCAAACCACCACTTCCAGGTGTCATTGGTTGCCCACCGGGGGTACCGGGCAGATATGCTGAACTAGGTGTCATAGGTGGCTGCCCGCCAGGTGTCGAGGGCAAGTACGGGCTTGGAACATTTGCTTATCAAAATAACAAAAATTCATTTTAAAACCTAAATTGATGTCTGATTGCAAAATGTATGTAATACAATAACCAAATTACCATAGGCTGAACCACTATCCCTTGGCGTGCCTGCATCACTGTAATTGTTGTTTGGATTATTATTTGTCCAACCAGAACCAGGAGTAGGCGCTTCGTAAGCTCGTGAAGGACTTCCTGGCTGAAAAGTAACAGATATTTGTTGGCAATTGGCATGCACATGCGTCAGTGAAAAATGTATGTTATGAAAACTTTAACTAGAAAAAAAGTTACCTGATATTGTGGACTAGTTTCCCATGAACCAGGATTCCCATCTTCCCAGTTGTCCCTGACGAATTCATTATCGCTATTTTATTGATTTATTCACATTTTGAAAAGAAAAAAANAAAAAAAAAAAAAAAAAAGGAAAAGCATGCATTAGTTGAATTTTATGATGTGTATAAAAATTACGATACAAATGTTTAGACAGCAGTTAAGGCCCATTTCTAGCAAAAATAAATATATTACCTTTGTGGACTCATTGGTGTGTAAGGATTCCATGCACGACTACGCATAGGCGTCCTCATACCATCATGATGTGGAGTTGCTGCATTGAAATTCATAAGGACCAAAATATAGATACAGATTGAAACCAAAATGAGATTGTGCAGTGAGATAAAATAAAACCGATCCACCATCTATAATAAGCATACGACACATACCATACGCATCTCTCATAGGAGTCATATACGGATTCAGTGGTGTTCGAGAAGGATGTATAGGGGTTTCGCTTCTCATACCATATTTAGATGTTTCCCAAGAACACAGAGCAGATCATAACGCTTGAAATATATATATCAACAATATCAACATACTCAGTATATTCCCAACTGGTTGGGGTTTGGGGGGTCAGTTGTACGCAAACCTTACCCTTGTAATTATACAAGGAGGCTGTTTCCGTAGCGACCCAAGATGCATTGCGTCGTTTGATCAGTGGCGAATCTACATGCATTAGTAGGGGTCAGCTGACCCCTATAGATTTCAAAATTTTTAGTATAAAATACTGTTCAAACACTGTTTACTAGGTTAATGACCCCACTAAAAAATATTGCTGACCCCGGTGAATGATGAGGCTGGCTCCGCCCCTGCGTTTGATATATTTTTTTCTAGAAACTTCACTAATAGAAGAAGCACTAGAATTTAATTGAGCCATTTAGATCTAGTCTATTATTAGCACTATGCCAGGAGAATTGTCAACAATGACTCTTCCAGCTCCATTTGCAACGGACAAGTCATAACGCTTGAAATAAAAAAAATAAAAAAAAGGTTCTCCAATAAAATACCTATCTAAATGGCGTAGTAACATTGATGTTATCGGATATATAACTGCGATCAACTGAGCAAAACCGATTACAATCAATATGTTATCAGTGGAAAAAAAAAGAAGACAAAATTAAGAAAAATAAAATAAAACAAATGTATTTTGCCACAGCAAACAGGAGGGGACTCGCCTGCAACAACATTCATCTGTGACTCCAACTCAACCCGGACTGTGGAGCCTTTGACATCCACCACATGTCCCTTGCATCCCTTGTAGTGTCCTAGACGAATTTTAACAGCAGCTCCAACTAAATCATCATGACCCCTCCCACCTCCACGCCTTCCTCCAACTACCCAGACCAAGAGTGCGAAAATAATGAAAATTACATACCAAACATTATAAAGGAAAAAAA